TGTATTCCATTTTATATTCTAAAATAGAATATAAAGGAAAAAGGAAAGAGCAGAAAACAACTTCTTTCTCTGTTAGACAATGAATGGGAAAATAAAGCAAAGAGTTGAGACAGGAAAAATGTTACAGGTTTTTCCATATGTATTTTAGTTGAATTGGTTTAAGATTATTGTGTTTTAGGCATTATTTTATTTATGCTTTATTTGCTTCACGTATATTTTAAGGTGATTCAGTAATAACTCGCTTATCTACCGATGCTGATGACATTAACCTTTGTATTACTTTTCACCAAAGAGCAGCCCTACTTTTAACTCTGGTTTCTATTATCTGCAACACACATCAAAACTTTTGCTCCGTCTCTCATTTTCCATTTAAATACATTTTTAAACTGTACATATAGTTCAATACTGTGCTGGAGATGGTTATTTCTGCTTTTCTGTGTGCGTAGAAAAGAAAAATTTCACTAGCCTTCCTAGCACTCCTTTACTGATCACCATGCAATAATTCCCTTTTAACTGAAGCACCTTTTAATTTTTATTTTAAAAAGTTGCTGCATAAATAAAAGAGATTAATGTAACTGTATTTTTTACTTTACCAGAAGTACAAGTAACCACAATTTTACTAGAGAAGTACTTCATCATAACAGTGGCCTAGTTGTATTTTCTTTCAACAAGAGTGGAAAACTAGAAATAAATTGCTTTTACACACAAATGTATGCTCTTAGCATGAATACACAATCTTCCCATCTTGATCTTCCCATCAAGAAATCCTCTCTGTAAATGCTAACTTGTAACAGAGCACGCTGCCAGCAGACGAAAGCAGACAGCAAATGTGGAAGTGCACATACTTAAGGCCTCAAACAACAATAACATGTTGTGAGCACATGCCCCTTCCGCTTAATCACAGCATTTCACTAATGCGCAGCAGGGTGGCAGAATAAGTTGGCAGCGTGCTCTTTACCCAGACTTGAGCCCCTGTGTCAGCCCCGCTCAGCTGAAGTTTCCAAACATCTTCCTGCTTCGATCATCGGTAAACACAAAGATTAGACAGTAAATTAAAAAAAGGGTATAAAATGTATTTAAAACATTCTAATATTCTGATTTACCAAGCAACGCTCTCTTAAAATAGTTTTATCTATCAGACAAAGCAGAGTCTGTACCTATAGATCAAATGCTGCTGTCAACTTCCAGCACACTTTTGCCTTTTATCTAGAAGGCAAAAATTTTTTGCTGAATCTAATAAATATCGCGAGGACAGGACAGTTAAAGCATCTGAAAGATGGAAAATTATCTCACTTACTGACATAATCCTGATGTGCTTCTGAAAGACAGATTATATTTTAAATTGTGAGCACATGTGAAAATTTCTGTCTGAGCTGTATGCAGTTTAGACTGGTGATATTTTGTCAAGTAAAATAATACTTCCACATTTTCTGTCAGGAAATGTTACATAACAGACCCAGAGCAATGATTTGGAAAGAACTTTGTATAAACACCGGACCCTCTTTGAGATTGTAGCTCCCATTAGCCTTCCACTTTCAGAGCCAAGAATCTCATTGTATAATCTTTAAAACCTAGCAAGTTACCACTATGAAAACGACATGCAGCATTCAGTATATATATAAAGTTCTTTCTTTTTTTTTGCTTCACAATCAAAGGCCACAATCCATCAGGTTTCATGATCATGGAAAAAACATGATGAGGGCTCCTCTTAACAACATGAGCAACTTGTTACACAGTGTGCAGCTGAATTTTCCATTACAAATGCAACCCTTGAAGCCCTCTTCCTGTTTACAAAAAGTTACCTTCAAAAGTACCTGGATGTAAAGGGCTCCATTCCCCTTTAAGGTTTTTACATTTTGTCAGATTACAACCACAACCCTAAAAGTATTTTAATGTGGAATAATGATACAGACCAACAAACTGTAGTGCAGTTGTGAAGAGGACAGGAAATAACACATGGCAACATTTTTAATGATTTGTTTTTCTTCATGCTTTTTTATTTCTGCATTCCTGCAGCATGATTCTGCCACCACCATGATTCATCGTGAAAATGGTTTGTTCAGGGTGATAACCAGTGTTACTTTTCCGCCACATAGGTTAAAAAGTTCAGTTCAGGTCTAATCTATCCAGAGTACATTTTTCACATCTTTGCTGTGTCCTTTTCCTGGCTTGAGGAAAGCTACAAATGGGATTTCTCATGGGTTTCTTTTTCCTTCTTCGTGATATTTTGTGTGTCACATGAAGTTCCAGACAAAAAAGCACAAATTGAAGTTTGTAAATTGACGAAACTTGACAAAAGGATTAAGTGGTATGAATGCATTTGTTTGCATATGGAATATTCTCCAATAGATGTAAACGTCCTAACCCTTAGATAACAATTCAGTCTGCTCTTTAATGCTGCCGTTTCAACATAAATCTGTTTAGATGAAAACAGTTGATTTGTTGTTGGTAAATGGAGAATGGAAAGGTGTGAACGCAGCCTAACGTGGTCACAAAATGATGACAGAGCTGAACGTGCGACAAACAAAATGTCACACTTGCCCCGTGAAATATTGAGATCTGGTGTAGCAAAAACTGTCGCACACAGGCCGCAGCTCTTCACCCTTTACGCATTGTAAAATGTTAATTTGTTTTCTGACTGGAAGACATTCATCTTGAGCTTAACGCACAAGGTGGATGATCAGAGACCAGCGTAAACATGCTAACCAATGCTAAGCAGTGATAAAAACATGTTTTGGTTGTTGCAATGCCAATAAGGATTTTTCTATTCAACTGATTTTTTTTTGTTGATTATTGAGAAATTATATATTTAATCAAATGTATGAGCCAGATGTTTTTTTTTCTTTTATTGTACTTCTTTAACATTGTTTTATTATTTTTGAGAGATACACATCTCATTTCCAATCAGAAACAAATGTCATAATTGAGTAATGGTTTTAACTCTAATCCTGCCAATGTGGTTTGAATAATTGTGGACTTAAATGTACTCTCTGGAACTGTGAACTAAAATTCAACTTGGATTAAATCAGAATATAACACATTTTCTCACAAGCTTTTAGAATCTTTTAGATAGGACTGGACATTTTATTTGGAATAATATGATTCCGACTTGAAATAAAATGTTTCAACATGTGATATTATTGTCACATTAAACACATTCTGGATTGTTGTCAGTCTCTCTGACCAGTTAAGATTCAACTGTCGCAATGTCAGTTTTATCAATATGTTTTCTTGTGATGACAGTAATGAGCTAGGTAGAAAACTCTGGATTTATTTTTTTATATCGTGCTCCTGACTGATACATTTGTATGAGGAGGAGGTGTTGGTCCTTTATAAGTGCTACATTAATCATTGATTTAGTTGGAGAATGGAAATATTATTTCAACCCTATGAGGAAAGCTGGACTTTATTTCAGGTTAATCAGATTCATTTTATTGATGTTCAGTGCGTACCAAATAAAACTAAATGCTGAAATTGAATCCAAGTGTACTTTAACGTAGTATTGGTTTAGATGTTTGCATACTTGCGTTGCGTTTTTTAACCTAATGTTTTAAAAAAAAAAAACATTAAATGATTATGTCTGGTCATATTGTTACAGTAAGCATAAAAGTGGAGTTTCCCCAAATTGTCCTAAATGGAAGATCCAAATTGAAACAAGGTTCCATTGTCTGTGGAAATCATTCAGATTTTCTTTAAGGCATCAGTAAAATAAGTAATAATAAGTAAAGACGTGCCAGTAGTTCCACTGCTTGCTTGGTAATGTTCCTGACTCTTTGATACAACAAGTTCAAATTATAATGGTGGCAAGGGAAACTGTTTTGATAAACATGAACCTCCTTTTCTTCAAGTGAACAATCCTAAACGTCTTTGTTTAAAAAATAAAAAATGAAAAAAAACTAGGAAATACACTGATGATTTACTGCAACAATGGAAGAAATCATTAGAGATTTTGTGTTTGAACTATAACTTGGACTCTAGGATATTATATTGAATATTTTGGCAGGTCGAGGCGGGATTGAACTTTCTTCCTTTCATTTTGTGTGTTGCTGTCTTATGCTGCTATGCGTTCGCTTGTGATTGACCAGTTTTCCACTGAGCATGCGATGTAGGTAAAGAAGCATGTTGAGGGAAAAAATGGGGAATTTTTGCTAAAATTGTGTAGGATATCATCATATTGGGAAAAGGTTTTGAAATTGTTTGTCATGGTCCTCTGGAGACTGTGTGTACTCCTTACTAAGGCAATGTAACTATGCTTGTTCCACATGCTTGCAAAGCGTGAGATCACTCTTGAAACTTTTGTACCTGCTCCACCTAAATTCAAGTTAAAACTTCCTTTAAAGGCAAAAAAAAAAAAACATCAACCCATGTACTTTGTACTAAGCAGTCTAATGTTGTAAATGGATATAATCACAAAAATATAAAAACAGCTGACAACAAATAGGATTAGCACATTTCTAAAATTAAGTTTACAAGTCCTACTGATACCTGTAATAACGTTTATGACTTCTAAAACATTTTTGTATCCTAATTTCAGTTTAGTCAATATGTACACTGCTGTATCTAGGTTACATGCCCTCTTTATTGGTGGGTGTTCTTGTCAATACTCAGCGTCCTCTCTGTAATTACCAGTACAACGTCACATACATTTATTGTAGCTGATGCTCCTCATTTTAAAAAGCTGCCAAATCCCATAACTAAACCTACAGTGTATATTGGATGCCATTCATCTTTTAATCAGGCCACTTCTCGGTCCGAATTTGTTTCTGGTGCCAATTGATATAGGTCAGACCTGTCTGGCCAACGCAGGTCCACATTTTGATTCAAACATTTGCATTCATATTCACTTTCTTCGCCAGCAGCTGAGCTGTTTCTGCTTCAGAACACCACCTGTTTGGATGGAGCCTCGTTATTTATGTTTGCTTAACATCAATTATGAATTAGCGGGCTAATCACCATCGAGTGTGGCATTAACATAATAAGCTTCCAGAGTTTTATCTTACCTTTTTTTCCTCCGTCACAGGATGATCAGTCTCCTAGCAGCTCTTTCCCCCCCCGAGAATGAAAGGCGGTTGCCTCGTCTCGTCAGTTCAAGTCCATTAAAGTGGCTTTCCTGCGTTTAAATCCTCAAGCTGTATACAGTGACGGGAGTGTCGACAGCATTAAGTTAAGGGAATGACCTACAAGGAAAAGGGAAACCCACCACAGCACCGCAGCTGGAGCCAGTTACTCCTCGTCTTGCCAGTCTTTTTGTTTCATTCACAGGAAGGCGAAACATAAAAAAAAAAAATATCGAGCAGTTCGGTTTGTTTGAAGAACAAACATCGGATTTTCTTTGGAAACAGCGCTGAGCGGAGCGACAGTGAGAGCAGGTAAGATAATTACAGAATAAAAGACAAAATTCTTCTTTTGCCCTCCGACGCAAGCGAGGCGCACGATGGATGAGGCATGACTGATGCGCGCTCCCGGAAGATGAAGCGCGCTCGTGAGTCAGACACGCCGCGGCCGTGGGAGTGAACCGCAATAAGGAATAATTCATAGAATAAAATAACAGGATCCTCAGTTAGACTGTTGATTTCTTTCTTCTCTGTTCTTTCTTTTGTTTTTGACGTTTTCGTGAAAAATAACTGTAAGCATCAAGAACATAAAGTGTTGTGAACTAATTATGAATGGACTTCATTTCCCATGTTCGGAGAAAACCAAAGATTTAAATAGGCCTACAGTGTTTAGATTTAGTGGTCGCCTTTGTAATTGTAAAATGATCTATTGCGCTAAAGCCTTTATCAACTGATACATGTTCCTCCTCCATGTTATTCATGCTTCTTTTACATGCGCCTTTCATTGACATTATAGGACTTGTTATATAAGTCTCCGTCCCTGGATGATTCAGTTAGAGCAGTTTTCTGCCCGCAGGGCTGAGATTGCACCCATGCAATGAAAAGGAAAAAATTATATATATATATATATATATATATATATATATATATATATATATATATATATATATATATAAACCACTCTATTAAATAAAGACAGAAA